GGGTCGGGTCTAATGAAAGGCCAAGCGAACTTATAGCGGGTTGGACTCGCTTGTTAGCCGTATCTTCATCGGGCTTATGTGGCATTTAAACAGAATGCACGCCGGCTCAAAGCGTGACATCCCACCACGCCCTCCGAAACCGCTTTGGAAAGGATGTAGGTAGCAGAAAAAAAGAAAGAAATTCCATCCAGTAGAAGGGAGTTACATTAGGGAATATGGCGGTGTAACTCGGCCACATGATAGTCCAGGCAGGTATAAAGTCCGCCACAGTGGGTGCCAAGATTAATCGGGAGGCAGAGCATTCCACGGTCGGCAGATGCGCAAAGCGAAGTAGTGTCGTGTGCAGTTCAGCCGACTGTGCTGATGTGTGAGCCTCAGTGGGTGGCCACGTAGGTGAAAACCCGATTGGTGCAGTGTGAGTAGGTGGCGACGGGGATGACCAGGGTTGGATAAGAGCATGTATACAAGGATCAGGTCACCCCGTAGACCTCGGTACTTAAGCGAGTAGAGGCCCAGGCACTGAAGTCGTTGTGGACAATCTAGGTGCTTGAGACCTCGGACCAGTTTGGTTGCTCGACGTTAGGGGGCTTCGAGTATGCGTCGGTTCTTCAAAAACCAAGGGCCCCAAGCCTGAATAGAGAACTCCAAGTGGGGTCGAAGAAAAGCGCTGAGGAGGAGGCGGAAATTGCTGGGGTCATTTTGAGCTAAGGCTCGTTTCAGCAATCTCACCATGCGGTTAGCAGCAGCTGCTACTTTCCGGCGGGAAGTGGATATGTAAAGACTCCTCTGGGTAATGATACCCAAGTCTCTTTCGGCTGAAGTGATCTGGAGAATAGACGCTCCCAGGTAATATACAGGAGAAAAAGCGGAAGGGCAGGTAGAAAGGACGCGACATTTCAAAGCGTTAAATGGAAGGTTGTTTTTTATGGACCACTGATGTAGACGGTCGCGGTCCGTCTGAAGTGCGTGGGCATCGTCCGGAAGGTTAATTGTGCGCCACAGCTTCACGTTATCCGCGTATAGCAGCACCGAAGACAAAACTTGCGGTGTGACGTCGTCAATGAAGGCTAGGAAGAGGTGCGGTCCGAGAACAGACCCCTGTGGAACTCCGCTTGTGGCAAGGATGCGGGGAGACAACGCTCCGTCGACGCGTACTTGGACGGTACGGTTTTGAAGATATTTCCGGATCCAGTACATCAAGGCCCCTGAAACGTCGTAAGACAACAGTTTCTGCAGTAGAATCTTGTGGTCGACCTTGCTGAAGGCTTTGGCGAAATCCAAGAATATAACATGCGTTTCTTGGCCAGAGTCGGCTGCAGTCGTCCAGCTGTCCCCTGGCAAGTAGCAGTTACTCAGGCAAGTACTCGATGACGCCCCGAAACCGAGCTGTACAATCAAGAGAGCAGTTTCTGGGTCTCCATGTGATCCTTTAAAGCGTCTGCGCAAAGATAAATTACCGTACAGTCACAACCACTACGGTTGGGTTGGGGGTATGGGTAGACGAAGACGGGAGGCCAAGCGATGCCTTAATCGAGAGGAATGAATTCCCTCACTTCTAAGTTGGCATCAGTTGGTGTTTTCCGACTGCGTGGCTGGGGTCCGAACGATGATGAACACATTCGGTTGGATACACTACCCGACATGATGAAGAGTCGACCTCAACCGCTTTGTGTTGAGTCGCTTTGTCCCTACCTCTCCGTTCAATTTCCCCCTCCAACAACGATCATCATGATTATACATGTCAGATTCAGGTGGTAAACACCTCAGTTACTAGACCGCAATACATAAAAAAGGATAATATATGCAACAGACGCATGCCAGCTGAGCTACCGGTAACGGATGGGCATCGTTCCGACAAGCTACCAGCCGGCTACTATGCAGCAAAAAAATTACTACGCAATATTATATAAGACTCTGTAGTGAGACTGGTTGGAGGGGGAGACTAAAAGAGATGGCGTGAGACAAAGAAGGTCAGAGCACGAACGCCACTGAGGTCAGCTCCTAGACGTGTTCATCGCCTTTCGGACCCCAACCGGGGGGCAGAGACGCTCCAACCGAGGTCAGCTCAGAAGTGAGGGCCTTCATTTCTGTCGACCAATTCCATCCACACCGCCGGCGCGCAAACAACGCACGTCGCGGAAATCGGTGGGTCGGCATGCGTAACACGTGGCCGAGCCATCGGAGCCTGGAGTGTAAAATAATGCTGCTGAACGGGGTTCACGTCCTTTTCCTGTGCTATAAACAAGGCGTCGAACACGCTCGCTATTCACGTGGTGTTCACACCAGATATGTCGGCCGGTGGCCGAGTGGTCGGCACGTTTGCTTTCCAACCATAAGGTCACCGGTTCGAATCCGCGTAGGGGTGGGCGTCCTCGCGGTATACTCAGCCCGCGCGCGACTGGTGGTGGTCGCGCTGCAGCGAAGCGCCGTTATGGCGTATAAGCTGACACATTTCACACCAGATATGGGTCAAACTGTGAAGGCAGCGGTGTTCGAACGCTACTAGTCTCTTTATTTCGGCTAACCTAAAGGGCTGCACTGCACACTCTATGCTTCAGGGAGAGAGTGATGTCGTGCCGGCGCCACAAGTGGCGGTTGACAAAAACGCCTCAAGCAAAATCTACACGTCCACCTCTGGAGGTGGACAACAGCAACATACAACTGCGGTCGTTTGTAGTATAACTATTGTAATATTCCTCCGTTCTGACATTCCGAGCTCCTCCGTGTTAAAATAGGGCGACAAGCTGCAATGCAAAAATAAATAACTTGTAGACGGCTGCACGCTCAACCGCCTAGTAAGAGGCCGACGTATAGGGTGCAGCTAAGGAAACACGGGAGAGAAAAGGGAAATTGCGGGATTGGAATAGGAGAGTAAGGTTAACAGGAAGCAATACCGATCGACCTCCCACCCGTTAACGCGTTAACGTGACGCCCGATGACCGGGACGTCCTATCCGCAACTTGAATATAATGTTTTTTCGGCAGTGATTCCGGTACACACGGTTATAGGCGGATTCTCCTGTGAGTTTGACAATTTACCATACATTCTCCCACTTCCTTCTTTTTGCGACACATACAGGGGGCTTCCATAAACTATTTTTTATATTCGGTTTCCTTTTTAACAACTTACTGTTATTTGTCAACCCTTCCACTTTTATTCAACTTCGCAATTAAGCATGGTACAGATCAGTTTTTGGATTTTTTGAGGTACTGACCTCTCTACAAACACGTTGCGCAAGTACCTAATAGAGCACTTACGTCTTGGGAACGCAGAAACAGGTTGTCCTGATGAACAACAGCCCGCATTCAAAATCGCGCCAGCGGCGGCTAGAACGGTCTCGATGACTGCCTACACTATTAAGTAAGGTCAGGTTTAAGGTCAGAGCACGAGGTCAAGTTCAAGTTCATGTATGACTAAAACAATCGATTAAAACGGTTGGGCTCCTTCTTATACAGGTTATTAACAGAGGTAATTGGAAGGATTTTTCAGGTATTTACGAACCTTAAAACCCCGAACTACACCCTGTTTTTTAAAACAGTTTTCTTCAGCAGTTTGAACAATTAAAATAGAAGATGGATATAGGCAGCTGCTTGCATTTCGTATTAGCGCGTCAGTACCAATGCGATAACAGGGAAGTCCTTTTATCTGTCTAGTAGGGCACAGCCAAGCCAATCAAAGACCCGTGGGGTTAGTACACCCCGTCGTGGCGATTCTTTCACGGATAGTAGCGTTATATTCCGTAAAGCCGGTGAATCCACTGTCGCCCTTCTTGTTGATCGCAGGTTGGAAGACCTTGAATGGTTTAAAATGTGTGTAATGAACCTACTTCCGCCAGTTTTCTAAGCTTTACTGGCAGGAAGCTGTGTAGACTGGGGAACATCCCAGTTAAAATACCAAACCCTCGACCGCGGCTGCTTCGTGTGGTACTCTCTACCACGGAGGAACGTAGCGTCCTCACGCGGTCTGCTTTTTAGCTGAAAGGTACAAATGTTAGCGTTCAGCAGAACCTTTCGCTGGCCGATAGGCTGC